TTCATACTATTCTCTTAGAGTCTCCTAACATTTCTCGTATAATCACTTATACCATATCATATAACTTATACTTGATTATCTTATTCTCTCATGTTCATTTCATTTCTTATGACTCTATCATATAACTTATTTCATGTTGTTCTATTATTACATATTAAAGTCTTACATACATCATATAGCATATATACAAAGAATATCATTATCTTTAGTCATGCATACATACAATCAATGTAATACAGATAATCACATATAATTATAACCACACATAATCATGTTCATGACTTCATGCATATTACTCTAGGAAATAGACTCATCGCAAGTCTTATTTCCATTAAACACTACATATCACTAGTATGCACTCACCTGGCCTCACTAGTCCATTCCAATCTTTAATCTTCCCTTTTTATCGATCTTACTTGTCAATGATTCTGGAACTCGTTTAGGCTTTGAAATCTACATAATTATACATTTTAAGACAATTATTAGATACCTACACCTTGTAATTTGATACTAGCAACTTAAACGAACTTATTAAACCAATATTTACAATTTTCCTTTAGGGGGAATCGGTTCCCTCCTGTGGGGGTATCGGTTCCCCCATGACATTCTGGAATTTTATTCGCTTGAAGGGGTATCGGTTCCCCTTGAATGGGTACCGATTCCCCTAGCCCAGAATTACATTTTCAGCACGAAAAATACTTCATTTCAACTTAAACACTTCCTATTTCAACCTCTTTTATATACTAAACTCAAACACACATACTTAAACCCATTTGTGCTCATTTATCCCATTTTAATTCTCAAAAACCTTTCCTCTTATGAAATTCAATAATCATACTCAAATTTTCTATATGTTCTAAATCCAATTGTATCACCCCAAATCTCTTAATTTAACTATTGACAAGTCAAATTTAACTTCAAATTCTACTTATCAATTATTTTCCAAAATTTCATATAAAAACTCCAAATCTTTAATCTCCCTTAACCCCTCCATTCTTTGATTTTACCGTAACCCAAGCTTTCCTTAAGTTTATCCATCAACTAAAGATCAAAACCAAACTTAAAATTCAAATAATAATCAACTAATAAAACTCTCACCTTTGCCTTGCTCTCCCACGTATGAAGAAGAAGAAAGGAGAAGAGAACTCTGGATGTTTCTCATTTCCCACGTTTATATCACCTTTAAAAGAAAGATAAAAAATCTTTCTGGTCAAATGACCATTTAACCCTTAACTTCTTTTAATAATTACTAAATAACCTTCATCATATATTTCCAATAATCATTAAATTATTTCATTCTTATACGTTAATCACCAAATTCTAAAACTTTTCAATTTAGTCACTAACCCGGTATTGCGGATGTTACAATAACTCCCCACGAACTGCCCCTAAGAACCTGTGCACGGAAACACATTCTGAACGTTGAGCTTACGAGCTCAGTGCCTCACTAATAATTGTATTATAATACATACATTCACTAAATGAGTTAGCTAGTGGCATATGTCTGAACATGTAAAGATACTTTAACTATTGAGTAGGCACCATGGTGTGGTTGAGGGTTCTGCATCTTGGAGCTCACACACCCCTCTAGCCTTTCTGAGATGCCCTCAAGTATCTAGGGTGAGATCCGAAGCTACATCAGAAACATACACATGCCAACTTACTATATCGAGTCTTGTGGCATATGTGCCCAGTCGGCTACTGAGTGCCTTGGCATTGACTTGGATATCCCCTGACTATCATACTCTGCTAAAGAGGAACTCGGGTGTCCTGGTTGTTTCTCAACCGTTGTACAAGGCTAGTTTTATGCAATCCTAGTTGTTATTATTTCTACTGTTATGATATTAATTACTCTAGTGTCAGGGTATCGATACCAAATTTCGGTTCGATGTTTTAAAAAATAACCTAGTATCGATACCCCTATGGGGAGTATCGATACTCCTGCCCTAGTATCGATATTCTATGAATTAGTATTGGTACTACCCCTTTAAAATTCTCTAATTTTTGCCTGAATGAAGAACAATATCAATATTGTTCTTACAGTATCGATACCATCACTACAGGGTGTTATGTTTTGGCACGAAAATCCTATCTTTCGATCCCCAAACGTCTCATTGAGGTCCTTAACTGATGTTTAAGTGTTTTATTTGATATTGGGTCATAAAGAGTTTGTAAACATGCTGAAAACACCCAAACAATGCAAATTACCATGAACATGCTTCAGGCTATGCAACCAACCAAAACTCACCCTAATGATCTACATGTAGTATAGTTGAGTTAGAAGAGAGTTACATGATAGTTCTAAGTTGTTAAGAGTGTCCGATGATCAACTCGAGGTGAGCTTATCATTTCCTTTAGCTTTAGAGCACTCTCCAACTTCTCTCACTAAGCAAGAATCAAAGAATGCATTACTAAAAGCATTTAGAGGTTAGGAAGGGTTTAAAAACCTCAACCCGACTTGACTTGATATGAATATATTAATATTTTAAAATAATTAAAATATTATATTTTATAATAATATATTTATAATTATTTATTATATTTTAAATGAAAACAATTTTATAATATTGTTTTATATTTTTAATAATTAAAAATATAATTTAATAATATATATGAGTATAAATTAACCGGGTGGTCAGTGATTTTTCATCTTAAACCCGAATTCGTCCTGTCCTGAAGTTTTATACTATATAATCCACCATGTCCCAAACCTCGAAATTAAAAAAAATCCTTATAAGATCGAGTCGTGTTGAGATCTATCGAGTTCAGATATTTTGACCATCCCTAATGGCCTTGGTAAAATTAATAAAAGTTAAGGTTACAACTTATAGGTCCTTAAGCATTCAAATTCAAACCACATTACAAAAATCATACTTTATAATAATCAATTATAATTATTATTATTAATATCGTCGAAAGTATATGAATCATACAATTTAATACTTGATATAATTGATCTTGATTATCAATATTATTTTAATTAAAAGTTATGTGCATACCAACTTATTTAAGTGGTTAAAGAAATAGTTGTTGTTCCTAGAGGTTACAGACTCGAACGTTAACGACTACAGTAAGGTGATAAAATATTCATTGACAAATGGTAGAGAATATTTAGAACATATACTAATTTATATTCACCTTAGCTTAATAAAAAATTAAAAGTTATAATTCAAATATGTATATACAATATTACTTTCAACTATTCCTTTTTGTTTATTTTGTTAGGTCCACTTCTTTTATCTTTTTCCCTTTTCTTTATTTTCTTGGCTCAACTTCTTTATTTCTTTCTTTTTTCTTATAGTAGCTCAACTTCTTTTTCCCTTTTTCTCTCTTTCCTTTTCTTCTTCGTTCCTTTCCACTCAGTTCATCCCACGATCTAAAATGCTAGGATGTTATAAATATGATTTGTATTTTATTTTTATATTATATAATTTTGTATTACATATTATTATAACCTAGCTTAAAATATGCTCAATTACACTAAAATACTACTTTGTAATCACTTTATCTTAATAAAAAATTAAAATAAAATAAAAATGTTGAAATATTCTCCATTAAGTGATCTACTTAACATTTTTCATTCAAAAAAATTATAATGGATAATTTTAATTTTAAATTATCAAATATGATTCAATTATTAAATCACTAAAATTATTAATTTGTAGTAATTTATTTTTTCCTTGGATTATTAAACAAAGCCTTAATTAAAGTAAAATATATTCAAACTCATCATGCAATGCCTCAAATTTCATACAAAGTTTTGTATGTTGACATTGTAACGACCTGAATTTTAGGTTAATATTCCCATGTTAACTTGAGCAATTGTTGAGCTAGTTTAGAAAGCAATTAATTTGACTAGTTGAATTTGAGGTGGAACCTAATTAGGTGGAATTGGCCCAAAAGTATGATAAAAAAAAGAGACTTTTGAATTGCATTGCATAGTTCAAGGGCCTGTGGAATAATTTAACCAACTACGAGAGACAAATCTGGGTTGAGATTATCTTTACGTGGGAAAAATGTTCAAAGGCCGATCTATTTAATTCGAATAGGCCCTTTTGCATGCGCTTTGTCTCTCTCCTTTGTGTTCATCTCCCTCCATTTTCAAAGCTCAAATCTTTCTTTCAAGGCTTCAACTTTCTTTAGCAAGCATTCCATTCATGATAGATTGTGGTAAGAATCATCTTCATCACACTCAAAATCCCAAAACAAACTCACTATCTCCATGGATGATGTGAAGTTGTTGGAGGGGTTTAAGAGAGGCATTGGTATAAAAACTAACATCTTGCATCATTATCTCGTTTTAGATTTGCTTTCTAATTCCCATGCTAATTTTATAAAGTTGAAGGAGAAAAGATAGACCTCCCGAGGCGAGATTGACCACAAGAAATTGGAGGAGAAACTTGGTTTTCTGAGTTTGAAAGATAATCCACATCTACCTTGAAACACTTCGTGAATATGTGTAATATGTTGCATATTTGATTAGTCTGGTGCATGTTAATTAAGGTTTAAGAATTACTTTTTTTTGGATAATTCATCAATTTTATTACCCAAAGAAGCATAAAATGCTACAAAAAATATTGATCTCAACACCTAATGTACAAACTACATACAAAAAACATCAGATCGGTTCTAATATAAACCCCATGAAGTACAAAGGTTAGAGTTAACTCTATCAGTCCTATTAATGTTTTCCCCCCTAAGCTTGATTCCTACAAATTCTTTGATGCAAATCAGAAGATCATCATTGGCTCGGTGGTATCCTTTAAATATTCGTCTGTTACGCTCCTCCCACAAAAGGTATAAAGCAGCACACCATGCAAGCTTAAGGATTATAGATAAGAGAGACTTTCCTTTCCAAGATCTAGAAGCCCAAACTAGCAATTCCTCCCATGTTGAGCATTGTTTATTGATGCTGCTGAGAAGTAGAATATTTTTCCATAAGAATGAAGCAGTATCGCAGTCAAAGAACAGGTGGTTTCTAGATTCCATTTTATCATTACCAGCACGCAATTCCCTTCGATGATAATTCCCATTCGCATCAGTCGGTCTCGGGTTGGCAGTCTGTCGAGGATTGCCATCCAAGCAATGAGACTGTGCTTAGGAATATGTTGTGGGAACCAAATCAGTGAATGCCATGGAACTTTGATTTCCTTCACCCTAATATCCTGCCAAATGTCTTTAATAGAGGATGCCCTAATCGAAATAGGTGTGGTTGCTGCACTGCGTAGTTTGAGGATACGATTGAAACTCCAGTTGAAACTGGCTCTGTTTTCCATTTGACACAGATTTCTACCCTTTATTACATAAGCATGGTTCCAAGCAATCCATAGAGAACCCTCTCCAGCCAGTAGATTCTTTAAGAGTTTGATCAAGCAAGCTTTATTCCAATCTTTTAGGTTTTTCAGCCCAAGACCACCCTCAGATTTTAATTGACAGATTTTAGTCCAGCTGATTCTTGCACCCGTAGCAGATTTATCTGAGCCTTTCCAGAAGAACCTAGAGCAAAGTTGTTCAATTTTGCTTATTATGGCTTGAGGAAGGGGAAGCTGTCGGCACCAGTAATTAGCAATATTGAACAAGACTGCTCGAACGAGTTCAAGTCTTCCCGCGTAACTCAGATTTTTACCAGACCATAGAGTGAGCCTAGCTTTAATACTTGCAATGAGGGATTCACAGTCATTTTCAGAGAGTTTGCGAGTTATCAATGGTACTCCAAGGTATCGAACGGGTAAATGACCATAAGTGAACCCTGTAGCTTGCTTGATATGCTCGATGTGACTAAGAGAAATTCCAGCAGTGAAGAACATATATTTTGCAGCATTTAAATTCAGACCAGACATCTCATAGAAACTTTCAAGAACAGTAATGACACCAATTACTGATTCAACATTACCCTTACAGAATATCAGTAGGTCATCAACAAATGATAAGTGAGTGATTCCTACTTTCTTGCATTTAGGATGATAATTAAAAAGTCCTCTAGCAGCAGCCATATTAAGCATGGAGGAAAGAATATTCATAGAAAGAACAAAGAGGATAGGTGATAGAGGTTCACCTTGTCTAATGCCTCTTGCTCCATTGAAATAGCCAATAAGACTTCCATTGAAAGAGATTGAGAATCGAGCTTGTTTAAAGCAAGCTTCAATCCAATCGATAAATCTTTGAGGAATATCCAAGGCTTTAAGAACAACAGATAAAAAACCCCAATGAAGAGTGTCAAATGCCTTTTGAAGGTCAATTTTTAAAGAACATCTTGGGGAGATGGCTTTCCTTCCATACCCTTTAACAAGATCTTGTGCCAGTAAGGTGTTGTCAACAATGCTTCTTCCTTTAATGAATGTAGTTTGATTTAAAGAAACCATTCCTGGAATAAGGGGAGTCAGTCTTTTGACTAGAATCTTAGTAATAAACTTGTAAATGACTGAGCAGCAAGAGATTGGTTGAAATCTTTGATTTTACTTGGATTTGGGACTTTAGGGATAAGAGCAATTGTGATAGCATTAAAAGAATGAAGCAGTGAGGAATGCTAGAAAAAATACTTAATTACTCTCACTACATCTTCACCTACAATGGACCATGTCTTTTTGAAGAACAGTGGAGTGTATCCATCAAGCCCCGGGGCTTTGTCATTGCCTTGTTCAAAGATAGCTTCCTTGATTTCTTTTGTGGTGACATCTTTGATGAGATTTGAAGAATGCTCTGGAGGTAGTGAATAACTTAGGATATTTTTCAAGAAATTATAGTCACAGCCTTCGACGTTAGTATCTACGCTCCCAATTAGATTCTTGTAGAAAGCTATCACCTCGGAGGCCATATCATCGAAGGATTATAATCTTAATCCTTGATCATTAATGAGCATTCCAATAGTTTCCTTCTTGTTCTTGACAGCAACAGTAGAATGGAAGAATTTGGAGCATTTATCCCCTTCTTTTATCCATTGAATCTTGGCTTTTTTGTTTCAAGAACATTAGCTCTGCTTCTTCAAGCATGAAAAGATCTTTTTGAATCTAGAGCTCTTTGTCAATAGGATTCGTTCCTTTTAAAGAGAGCATTTGCTGTTGTTCTAACTCCATTCTCTTAGACTTGACCCTATTGGATATCTCACTAAAGCAAGAGTTATTAAAGCTCTTTAGACTTGTCTTGAGGCGCTTGAGCTTGAGGAACAAGATTAACATCGGAATTCCAAAAATAGTAGGGTGCCAAGACTGTTTTACTACACTCAATAAAGTAGGATGTAGTGTCCAAAGTTGAAGAACTTAAACAGTTTGGGGAGGTTAGTAGGAGCATCTTTAGAGAACCATGCAATTGCCATACAGTGGTCGGATACGCCCGGTGCTAAGAATTCAACAGCAGATTTTTGAAAAATAGTAGCCCAATTGGAATTAATAACTCTGTCCAGCTTCCTTGTAAGGTAAGACCCGGATTGCTTATTGCTCCAAGTGAAAATAGGTCCTATGTAAGGATGATCATGTAGGTCTAGCTCATAAGAAACATCTTGAAAATCTTTCATTTCTGAAGTGGGGCTAGGACATAAGAATTCATAGTCGGAAGATTCATCAGGATGTAAGGTGATGTTAAAATCATCGCCTAGCATCCAGGGGAGATGACCAATGTTTCTCTCCAGGATATAAAGCTGCTGCCATAGCTATCTTCGAATAATGTTGTCATTACTACCATAAACAGCAGATAAAACAAAAGGGGCTCCTAAAAAAGAGCCTTTGACAGTAATGATCTGATCAGACGCTTGAAGGATAGATAATTCAATATTTTTCTTCCATGGTATCCATATTCTCCCATTGACAGTAAAATCATAATTCGAACTAACATGCCAATTTAACAATTTAGAATCAAAAATAGGTATGGATTTCTCCTCTTTAACTCTAGTTTCCAGCAAACATAAAATATCTACTTTATTTTGAGAAGCTCGAAGAAGTACCTTATCTTTTTAGAGGATTATTGAATCCTCTAATGTTCCAGAAGCTTACAATCATTGTGAGGGAGAAGTTAGAGATGGCCCTGTACCCCCCTGCTGTTGAACTTGTAACTTTTCTTAGCTTGTTCTTCTTTTTCACTTTGAGCTCTTTGACTAATTCAGCTACTCCCTTAGATGCAGCTCTGCTTGTTCTAAGAGGCACATCAATGTTTGTAGCGTTTTCTTTAACAGAGTTTAGGAGTTCATATCTATTACTTGAGCCAGTAAAAGAGGCATTTTCCTTGGCTGGACGTCCTCTAGCTCTTTTAGGGAGAGAGTTCTGGGGATTACAAGAATCCTCTTTAGAAGGAGGAATATGTTCGGTTACAATTTCATTGCCAAGACTGCCATTAGAAGGTTCTGTAGTTTCTGCATTAGCATCTGCGCAAGCAGGTTCAGTAGCAGTTTCAATCTTTTGAGGAGCTTCATCAGGAATTTCAGAAGCAACATGAGCGTGGTTCTTATCGGATCCTTCTGTGGAGTACGTAGTGTTATAATCATCTTTTTTCTTCCAGACTTGTGTTAGGCTAGGATTGGATGAAATTTTTACTAGGCAGTTCTTTTCGTTATGGACAAACTTTCTACAATTCCTACATTTAGGAGGCAACCAAGGTATTTCAATGTAAATCGAAGTGGTAACATTTCCATTGAGGACAACATCAATAGATTTAGGGATGTCATCATCAACACTAACTTCCACATAGATTTTTACAAATTCCAGTCTGGTCTTGGAGGCTGTTACTGAATCCATTTAGATGGGGACACCAATACCACTTGCAATATAGCTTAGACCCACTTGGGAATAAAGTTCTAATGGTACATTGTAGAGGTGAACCCAGATTGGTATTTTAGACAAATCAAAATGTAGACGTTTAAGACTAGGTTCCCATTTACGAAGAATTAGGGGTTTGTTGTGTATATGCCAGGGGCCATTTTCAATAATCCAATCCCTAGCTGATTCATTCAGATGAAAAAGAGAAGATATAAAGATTACTCCCGGCTAGACTCACCTGAACTCGGGAACCTTGCAGAGCTTTTCTCCACAATGAATCAACAATCCGCTGCATTGTCGTAAAATTTGGTGCTGGCCCAAGGAACTGCCCCACTAATGATAGTTTCCATTCGGAAATTCCGGCTTCAAGGATCTCTGGGGGAGGATTAATTGTTGGAATCTCGTCTTTGATTATGGGAGGATGGTAATCTAGGGATTGGCTTGAAGAGCTCCCGAAAAGTTTCCTCCAGTCCATCCAAATGAAGGAAGGGATTAAGGAAGATAACAGACATTAAAATAAGATACAAGAACGAAAGGGTCACCGGAGACACGACGGAATCCCTCCAAAAAAGTCCTCTTCTTCTTCTTCAAGAATTACTTTTTCATCCTTATTTTACATCATCTCAAACTGAAATTTCACATGAAACTTTATTATGATATAGAACAATTAAAATGCAAACCAGTGAATATGAGCAATTATAATCAATGTGTTAGCAATTACACATCAGCATGATCGACAAGAATTTAAAAATTAAATCTTCATTTTTCAATTTATTTTAAGTGTGATTATATATATATAACCACCGGTGTCTGATCTATTAATTACTAATTCGGATCGGATACTACAGAGGCAAACAACCCTCCCAGCCCAGTTTACTCCATTCGCATCATCACGATTTGAACCTCTGACCTACTCAAGGGGTCTACTCCTCACCTACTAGATAAATTGATTGTTGGTAAAATATGATTGATCGACAAGAATTTAAAAATTAAATCTTCATTTTTCAATTTATTTTAAGTGTGATTATATATATATAACCACCGGTGTCTGATCTATTAATTGACTAATTCGGATCGGATACTACAGAGGCAAGAACAACCCTCCCAGCCCAGTTTACTCCATTCGCAATCATCACGATTTGAACCTCTGACCTTACTCAAGGGGTCTACTCCTCATCCTACTAGATAAATTGATTGTTGGTAAAATATGATTATATATTAATAATTACACAAACAACTATAATTTCATAAATATATTTATTAACAAAATATAACTGTATCTTAAATCCTTAAACATAGAATTAAAATTACCTTTCACGCTAAATTCAATGATTAAAATTTATGCTAATACAAAAATAATCATAGATCGTTTTGGTTTGCACATATGAAACAGTGAGTAATGCATGTGTTAGTATATTTACATTTAAATATATATAACTATCATATGATAGGCGTTTTTCCCAAAAAATCACCGGTGACCGGTATATTTACCGATCTAACACCGGTCATATTATATTTTCTGATCTAACACCCGTAGCAGTAAAGCGCTCTCCCTGCCCCACGCTATATGATGATTTGGCGCCATGTGGGGTATAGCTCGCCCCCTGTACCGCGCTATATGCTGACATGGCTTACACGTGGGTATAGCGCGCCCCCTGATCAACGATATACGCCACGTAGGGGTATAGCGCCGCCCCTGCTCAGCGCTATACCTTTTATATGAATAATTACATATAGCGTGGTCGTCCAAAATCCAATCGAATTCATTATGATATGGATATTCGAGAAAGATCTAGACAAGACAGAAGATGTGGGCATTCGCTGATGAAGATTAAAAAAACGAACACAATCATTAAATTTTATCAAAGTAATAACAATTTGGTATTTGAATATAATTTTAAATACAACAAACTTACAATAAGAATTAAATGGTAAATGATAACCAAATTACAATAACTGATATTAAATGATAATAAACAAAATTAACTGAAATACATTAAAAAAAAAGTCCAACAAATTTAACAAAATAAAGTAAGTATTAAATGAGAAATAATAAAAAATTACAATTTAACAAAATAAAGTAAATACAAATATAATAAAAAAAATCTATCGATGCCTACGACGCGAATGTGTTCCGCAGGGCGGTGACTGTCGGTCTCGAGGAGGATTTCTTCGTATCACTGGTTCTGACTCCTCGCTATCATCATCATCACCATCGTCGTCGTCGTCGTCGTTTTCATCCTGAGCAGGTACATTAGGTTGATGAGGAGCTGATAACGATGAATCACCTCCATAGAATAAGGACCCTAGAGGTGTATGACTGACTATCCCACCGGCCTGCGAAAACTGGGAAAACTCATAAAACCCAGACATCGTTGAGTGTGAAAACTGTACAGGAGGTGTCTGTGATGCGGCCATGGGTGATGAGCCTGAACCCGCCAGATATCTAGCATATGAACCCCAAGTTGGATCTACAAACATAAACCCATAATAACCTCCAGGAGGGGTCATCTGTGACGGTAGCGGCGGTGGGGTCATAAAATCAGGTGAAGGCGGCGGCGGCGGCATCTGGTAATGGAAAGGCAGCGGCATCATATATGGTTGCGGCATCATAAATGGATGCGATGGATGCTTTGAAGGTCCTGCTGGTGCAGCTGAGGATAAATCGAAAGCATATGCTCTCCGTCCACGAGTTGGGGGATGATGGTGTTGTGTCGGTGAACGTCTCTGTCGACGTCGTAGAAAGGTCTGCCCTCGTGCATCATCGGGAAGCAGAAACGGTTTGCCATTACTGTTGAACCACTCATAATAACCGTCAGCAACCATCAAGAGGTCAAGTAAAATGGGCTCTCTACGGGGAAGGCACCGATGTCGATCATCCCACAACACGACCCACTCATGATGCCTCACCAGCCAATCTGTATCTGTCTTACCGCGTCTATCTAAGCTATGCAAGAGATGCTTCCGAAATTGGTTAAAAACAACCAAACTGCCGGAGCACGCGATCAGTAAAGTGCCACTCGACGGTCGCATAACAGATCAGAGGGACCATCGCCATCCAAACATCTGA